AATTTTATAAAACATTTGTATGGTTCCAAAGACAACAATACTTTATAATGAGGTATCGTCACAGAGGTTTTGCTGCCATCTCTGTACCCTCCACCAAGTTTCCTCTCTTCCCTATAAGTAACCATTTTTGTGGAGTTTTTAATTCATCTTTCCATCACTTCTTTTTGAAAATATATGTGTGTAGGCCGGCCGAGTGGCTCAGTTGGTTAAGAGCTCGCTCAAGAGTTTGAGCTCTGAGCAACGGCCGTTCGAGTCCAGCCCGAGCTGAGCAGCCACTGAGCTGCCAACAGGTAGCAGGATGGCTCAGCTGAAAAAAAAAGAAAGAAAGAAAGAAAGAAATGGTATTGAAAATATATGTGTGTATTTGCATTTCCCGTCTTCTTACACAAAAAAGTAGCATATTAGCATATTATATACACCATCCTTTACTTTGTTTTTTTTTTGTTTTTTTTACTTAACACCTTATCATGGAGATCACACCATAACGTTATACAGAGATCATCTCCATTCCTTTTTAGGGTTGCACAGTATTCTACTATATAAATATACCTCAGGTTTATTCAGTCAGTCCACAACTGATGGATATTTGGGTTTCAAGTATTTTTCTGTTACAAAAAGTGCTACCACAAATAGCCTTAGACATACAATATTTGTATTATTGCCAGTGTATCTTTGTGATAGAATCTGAGACATGAGATTGCTAGGTCAAAGGCATATACAATTTTGTTAGAAGTGAGATGCTAGGTAAAAAGGCATATGTATGTGACTTTGCTGGAAATTGCCAGATCCTGCTCCATTTGGCTTTAACTAGTTTTCATTCCCACTGGCAATGTAAGAGTGCCAATTACCCCATAACCTTGCCAACACAATATGCTGTCAATCCAATAGGTGAGAAATGATATCTCAGTGTAGTTTTATTTTGCATTTCTAGTATTATAAATGAGGTCAACTACCTGCTCATTTGTTTCAGGGCTCATGTTTTCTGTGAATTCTATTCTTTTGTCGTTTTACTTTGTTCATTGTGTTTTTGCCATGCAAAACTTTTAAATTATTATGTAGTCAAATCTTTTCTTTTACTGCTTTTACATTTTGAATCATAGCAAAACTTTTCCCACCTTGAGATTATAAACGAATTCATCATGTTTCCTTTTAGTACTTCTACAATTTCATTTTTTTAAATTTGGATCTCTGACCCTTTTAAAATTTATCCCAATGTATGGTGTCAGGCATAGATTTAATCTGATCTTTTTCCATATATAGTTATCCACTTACTAAAAAAAATCTTTCTCTTCTATGGTTTGAAATGCAACTTTTAATATATACTAAATTTCTATATGCACTTGGGTCTGTTTCTGGATTTTCTATTCTGATCCTTTGGTCTATCCAGTCATGTGCTAACACGACTCTGTTGTAATTATAGGGGTTTTATAACATGTTTTAATAGCTGGTAGTACCTCTCTATGATGTGCTTCTTTCTAGTTTCCCTGCTTTTCTTGTTTGTTTATTCTTTCAAATAAGTTTTATAATCAACTTTTCTAATTCTAGATAACAACCTGATGGTATTTGGAGGGGGGAGGTTGCATTATATTTATAAATTAACTCTGAAAGAATTGATATCTTTAGTATGAGAGTCTTTTCTCCAAAACATTGCCCTACCATTTGTGCATCTTTATTTTTGTGTCTTTCAGGAGTATTTATAGTTTTCCTCATGTAGATTTTGTACATTTCTGGTTAAGCTTATGCCTAGGTACTTTATTATGATTACTATTGGCTCTTGTGAATAGCATCTGCTCTATTATTTCTTCTAACTGGATACTGTTAAAGGCTGTCGATATCTGTATATTAATGTTATGTCATACCACTTAATATCATACCTCTTATTTGTAGTTGCTTTTCCACTGATTATAATCATATTATCATCAAATATAGTTTCCAACTCATTTTTTTTATTAGCTTCAGGTGTACAAAACAGCATAGCAGTTAGAGGTAATTATAAAGTAATAACCCCAATAAATCTATTACCCATCTGACACTGTACATAGTTATTAGAATATTATTGACTATATCCCCTATGCTGTACTACATATCCCTGTGACTATTTTTTTAATTATAGTTGACATTTGATATTATTTGATATTAGTTTCAGGTGTACAGCACAGTGGTTAGACATTTATATAATTTATGAAGTGATCCCCTGATAAGTCTAGTACCCATCTGACACTATGCATAGTTTTTACTGTTAAAACTATACATAGTTTTAATATTATTGACTATATTCTCTATGCTGTACTTTACATCCCCGTGACTGTTTGGTAACTACCAATTTGTACTTCTTAATCCCTTCGCTTTTCTCACCCAGCCCCCCGACACCCCTCCCATCTAGCAACCATCAGTTTGTTCTCTGTATCTATGGGTCTATTTCTGTTTTGTTTGTTCATTTATCTTGTTCTTTAGAGTCCACATATAAGTAAGATCACATGGTATTTGTCTTTCTCAGTCTGACTTATTTCACTTAGCATAATACCCTCTATGTCCATCCATGTTGTCGCAAATGGTAAGATTTCATTCTTTTGCTGGTCGAGTAGTATTCCATTGTATATATGTACCACAATTTCTTTATCCA